TCGGGCGCCCGCCCTGGCTACTGCTCCCCCGCGTCTCATGCTGCTGGGGGTTTTTTTTTTTTTTCTTTTCTTTTCACTTACCTTCATGTGATCTTGCTGTGAGATTTCATTTCCTCTAGTTTTTTTTCTGTTATGAACACACACTTTCATGTGTGTGTGTGTGTTAGGGATGACTTTTTGGTCTGATATTGGGCAAAATTTTTGAAGCTGAACTTTACTATCTACTACTTTACTACTATTTACTATCACCTCTGGAGAAAAGGAGGTACCGGATTGATATCAGTATTGGCAGATACTCAAAGTTGTAGTATCGGTACCGGACATGATTTGTATAGTTTTCATAGCCATCTGCTGCCACCTAGCAGAAGACGATTTCGTTGTTCTGCCTTTCATGCCTCGACGAGTCAAAAAAATAATAGTTTTCAGCCTAATTAAGTGAAATTGGATAATATTCCTCGCACACGTAATGCTACTAGAGGTCTGACCTGAAGTCGGTTGCTCGGTGTTGAGTTGACATTTCGATCCCCTACAGTGTGAGCAAATGTCAACATGTGTATCGACTGTCGGCAAAGCAACGATAGGTGGATTTACAGTGGAATAATTGGAAATACGCTGTGCGTAATTGGCCCATGTGTTCGACAGTCGTAAAAAAAAAACACCCAAATTCTGACAACCCTATTATACTGTGTAATATTTTATTTTAACTGTATAGATAGACAGATCAGGGTCCCTCTTTTTGTTTCTGTTTTAAAGGGAAGTCCATTACTGAATGGTGCTCTGCGTTAGTTAAGGCCTGCGTTTGTCGGTACGCTAGCTCCTTCTGCTCCTCCCTCACGGCGCGCAGCTGTAATTCTGGGCTTTGATCGATTGCCGGGGGAACGTGCGAGATGGAGGTAGCCAAACCTGCATCCTGGAGCCTCCCTCGCCCCTCATGCGCTGACGCTCTGTGTGCCAGGGATTTGCGATAATCTTCTTCATAAAGCGCTCATTTACCGGCGATATAGGCCTCTCCTGGCTCCGGCAGCCCTTTATTTATCTCTGTTTGATGAAATGGCCTGCATCCTGTCCTCCCCATAATGAAATGTAAAACAGGGAAACCACGGTTATTGACCGAGGCAATTAGGCCCTTAAATGTGTTTTGTCTCGTTTGTTCTTTCGCACACAAAATCAAACAAATGACAAATACCTGGATCTGATCTTTTGCTTCAGCGTGGATTATTGACACCTTAAGAGAATAAACACATTTCTAAATAATCTTTATGGGTTAAAATGAGCCACAGAAGTGTATTGTGATGTTAAGGAGATGTAACGTGGGAAACATTTTATGGGTTAAAATGAGCCACAGAAGTATATTGTCATGTTAAGGAGTGAGATGTAACGTGGGAAACACTTACCTATAGCAAATAGGAGTTGTTTATCCGTTGATTGTTGAGGGTAAAAAATAGATTGAACCCAATTTAAAAACGACTCCACGGCGGAGGTGTTCTAAAATACACCTGCTCTGTTTCCTATAGCTTTCCATTTCGCCGTGACGTGTTTTACACTTTGGGT